ATCTGATGCAACAAACAGCAGGCTGGAAGAATCAGAGGAACGAATTAATGACCTAGAAGATAAAATAATGGAAACTAATCAAGCTGAACGAAAGAGAGAAGAATTATACAACACAAGAATAGACTTCGGGAACTCTGACTCCATCTAACATAACATTCATTTTATAGGATCCCAGAAGAAGAAGAGAGAGAAAAGGGGGCAGAATATTTATGTGAAGAAATAATAGCTGAAAACCTCCCTACTCTGATGGAAACAGATATCCAGATTCAAGAGGCACATAGAAGGCCCAAGAAAATCAACAAAAGGAGATCCACACCAAGACATATTGCAATTAAACGGGCAAAATATAGTGATAAAGAAAAAAATGGAAAAGGAGCAGGACAAAAAAAAGACAGTTACATACAAGGGAAACCCCATAAGGCTATTAGGGGATTTTTCAGCAGACATTTTCCAAGACATGATCCATTCAAAGTGCTGAATGGGAAAAATCTGCAGCCAAGAACACTGTATCCAGCAAGGCTATCATTCAAAACAGGAGAGGAAAAAAAAAAAGTTTCCTAGACAAACAAAAAAATAAAGGAGTTTCTGACCACTAAACCAGCCCTGTAGGAAATATTAAAGGGAACTCTTTGAATGGAAAGGAGAGACCAAAAGTGACAGTATGAAGGTAAGAAACACAAAAGCAGTAAAAATTAGTATTTCTGTAAAAAAAAAAAATCAGTCAAGGAGCTCGCAAAATAAAAAGATATAAAATATGGTATCATATACCTAAAATGTGGGAAGGAGAAGAGTAATGAACGGGTTCAACTTAAATGACCATCAACTTCATATAGACTGCTACACGCAGAAGATGTTATATATGAACCTAATGGTAACCATAAGTCAAAAACCACTAAAAATATGCAAAGAATAAGGAGAAAGAAATCATATCACTAAATATATCACTAGAGAAATAGATCATTACCAAAAACCAGCAAACCACGAAAAAGAGAAAGACAAGAAAGGATCAGAGAAAATCTTCAGAAACAACTACAAAACAATACAATAGCAATAAATACATATCAATAATTACTTTGAATGTAAATAGACTAATCACTTCAAAAAACACAGAGTGACAGAATGGATTAAAAAAAAAAAAAAAAACAAGACCCATCCAAATGCTATCTATAGGAGACTCATTTCAGATCTAAAGACACCTGCAGATTGAAGGTGAGGGATGGAGAAACATTTATAATCCATACAGATGTCAAAAGAAAGCCAGGGTAGCAATACTTATATCAGACAAAATAGAATCCAAAACAGAGACTAGAACAAAAGACAAAAAAGGACACTATATAATCATAAAGGGGACAATCCAACAAGAAAATATAATAATTGTAAATATTTATTCACCCACATGGGAGCACCCACATACATAAAAGAGTGTATAACAAACATAAAGGAACTAATCAATAATAATACAATAATGGTAGGGGACTTTAACACCCCCACTTACATCAATGGACAGATTATCTAAACAAAAGAATCAACAAGGAAACAATGGCTTTGGATGACACACTGGACCAGATGGACTTAACAGATATATGCAGAACATTCCATCCTAAATCAGCAGAATAGACATTCTTTTCAAGCGCATATGGAACATTCTCCAGAACAGATCATATATTAGGCCACAAAACAAGCCAAAACAAACTCAAGAAGATCAAAGTCATACCATGCATCTTTTCTGACCACAATTCTATGAAACTAGAAATTAACCACAAGAAAAATCCGGAAAGGCCACAAATACATGGAGGTCAAATAACATGCTACTAAACAATGAATGGGTCAACCAGTAAATAAAAGAAGAAATAAAAAAAAAAATACATAGAAACAAATAAAAATAAAATCACCACAGTCCAAAACTTTTGGGATACAGCAAAAGCAGTTCTAAGAGTGAAGTTTATAGCAATATTTGCCTACCTCAAGAAGCCGAAAAAAATCTCAAAAAAAACCTAACCTTACACATAAGGAGCTAGAAAAAAGAACAACAAATAAAACCTAAAACCAGCAAAGGAAATAAATAATAAAGATTGGAGCATATATAAATAATAGAGAAACTAAAAAAACAATATAACAGCTCAGTGAAATTGGAGCTGGTTCTCTGGAGAAAAAAAAAAAAAAAAAAATCAATTGATAAACCTCTAGCCAGACTTATCAAGAAAAAAAGAAAAGGACTCAAAATTACAAAGGAGAGAGGAGAAATAACATCATCACGGGCACCTGGGTGGCTCAGTCGTTAAGCATCGGGCTCCCTGCTCTGTGGGAAGCCTGATTCTCCCTCTCCCACTCTCCCTGCTTGTGTTCCCTCTCTTGCTGTCTCTCTCTCTGTCAAATAAATAAATAAAATCTTTATTTAAAAAAAAAAAAAAGAGAAATAACATCACCACAAAAATACAAACAATTATAGAAGACTAGTATGTAAAACTATATGCCAACAAATTGGACAACCTAGAAAAATAGATGAATTCCTAGAAACATAAAAACTATCAAAACTGAAACAGGAAGAAATAGAAAATTTGAACAGATAACCAGCAAAGAAATTGAATCAGTAATCAAAAGACTCCCAACAAACAAAAGTCCAGGACCAGATGGGTTCACAGGTGAACTGAACGAAACATTTAAAGAGTTAATATCTATTCTTTCCAAACTATCCCAAAAAAATAGAAAAGGAAGGAAAATTTCCAAATTCATTCTATGAAGCCAGCATTACCCTGATACCAAAACCAGATAAAGACACCATAAAAAAAGAGAACTACAGGCCAATACCTCTGATGAACATAGAAGCAAAAATCTTCAACAAAATACTAGCAAACCAAATCAACAACACATTAAAAAAAAATCATTCATTGTGATCAAAAGGGATTTATTCCTGGATTGCAAGGGTGGTTCAATATTTGCAAATCAAGCAACATGATACATCACGTCAATAAGCAAAGGATAAGAACCATATGATTATTTCAATAGATGCAGAAAAAGCATCTGACAAAATACAACATCCATTCATGATAAAAACTCTCAACAAAGTAGGTTTAGAGGGGATATACCTCAGCATAATGAAGGCCATAATATGAAAAACCCACAGCTAATATCATCCCTAATGGGGAAAAATAGAGCTTTTCCCCGAGGTCAGGAACAAGACAAGGATGTCCACTCTCACCAATTTTATTCAACTGAAGTTCTAGCCACAGTAATCAGACAACAAAAAGAAATGAAAGGCATCCAAATTGGTAAGGAAGCAGTCATTCACTATTTGCAGCCGACATGATACTATATATAGAAAATCTGAAAGACCCCACCAAAAAACTGCTAGAACTGATAAATGAATTGAGTAAAGTTGCAGGACACAAATCAGTATACAGAAATCTGTTGCATTTCTATACACCAATAATGAAGCAGAATAAAGAAAATAATTCCGGGGCACCTGGGTAGCTCAGTCACTTAAGTGACCAACTCAATTTCGGTTCAGGTCATGAAATCAGGGTCCTAGGATCAAGCCCCGTGTCAGGCTCACCGCTCAGCAGGGAGTCTGCTTCTCTCCTTCTCCCTCTGCCCTTCCCCCACCTCGCACATGCATGTGCGAGCTTTCTCTCAAATAAATAAATCTTAAAAAAAAAAAAAATCCCATTTATAATTGCATCAAAAATAAGATACTGAGGAATAAACCTAACCGAAATGGTGAAAGACCTGTATTCTGAAAATTTTAACACACTGATGAAAGAAATTGAAGATGACACAAAGAAATGGAAAGACATTCCATCCTCATGGATTGGAAGAATAAATATTATTAAAATGTCTATACTACCCAAAGCAATCTACAGAACCCTAACTCTCTCTTCACTGAAAGCTAGACTACTACATTACAACTGAAGATTAAAAAAAAAAAAAAAAGAGGAAGGTCCACCTTGCGTAGTAACATGGTAACAGCTACCACAAGCATATGAGTACTTCATTTTCATATGGTTGCTTTACCACATATTAACATAGATTAAGAAGTATATTTACCTTGAATGGAAAACTGGATTTCACCTATTATGACAATTGTGATTGACAGGGTCTGCCTGCAGTGCTAAGTTGAGAATGATTCTGAGGCTGAATCCAGACTCAGTAGAACTGTTATAAAGGATTAATAATGTCCGCTATGAGTGAAAAAGGGAGAATGAGGGTATGTACTATGTACTTGACATCTTTAATATCTTGCATTTTCTCTGAAAAATTGTATGCCATTTGCAGGACCCCACCAAAAAAAGATGAATTTCACTCATTTAATATTAAAGTCACCTACCACCCAATCAATTAAGGGATAGGATTACAATGAACACTAGGGAAATCTATCCAGACCATGAGCCATTCCTTCCTTTCTCAGAAACATTCCCTGATCCAGGAGGCTGGAATCCTTCTTCCCTTGTTACAAATGACTGATCCCTGAGTGGATCCTAATCCAACATGGGGTAACAAAGTTTCTCTCTTGGGAATTCAGAATTAGGATTCACAAACAGCCAGTTTTGTTTTTATATATGCAGAACTGCAACATATGCAAAATATGGAGATCATGTGCTACCATTCAGAGAGAGAAGCACAGAAACAACTCAGTCTGTGGGGAGATGAATAAAGAAAATCTACAGAGCCAGAGAAACCAGGGAAATTAGGAGAATATTCTCTGGATTCCTGAGAACCTTCTTGTCCCTAGATTCTTAGATTCTCTTTTCTTTAAGCTAGCTTGAGTTGATTTTTTATTTATAGACAAAGGGTATTAACTAATAAAGGATAATAGGGTTGCAAAGACTAGGAGAAAATATTCTTTTAGAAGAAGAGGCAAAAAAATATATAAAGGAATAAACAGAAAGGAAAAAAAATCAAATTACTTCTTAACCTACATTAAAATGATGGTAGAAATTAATTCCTTCAGTTTTGTACCCTCCTCTTAAAGAGTATATGTGATAAACTTAACAAAACCTGACCTTTGTTTCTTCTGTCCTCACTGCATCCAGCAAATAATGCAGAAGCTCCTGACTGTCCTGTTGCTGGAAACTTTTAAATCGGGGGGCCCTATGATTTAAAAACAAAACAGGAAAGAAAAAAAGATCATTTCATCAACAATATATTACTACCATCTAAAATCATTTTTACATAGCATATAGTCAAAGATTCAATTTAGTCCTTTTCCTACTAAGTAGAAAGACCAGATATGGTCACTGTTCCAATTAGGATGAGATCTTAAGTACACAGAGAATAATATGGCTATCATTTATCAAGCAACTACTACATGCAAGCACAGTACATATGTTAAGCTTTACTTATGTCAAGTCATAAAATCCTCAAACAAGCTTGGGATGTCCTATTTTCTCCAGCTTATATACAAGGGCTTAGAGGGATTATTTATAGAATTTGCAAGGTCACATAGCAAGCAAAAAAAACAGTATTCAAACCCAAGCCACCTTGATCTATTATCTTCCTACCTTGAATAACCAAAAGAAAAACAAGAGGTTATTTATATTAAAATAAAGAACTATAAACTGATATCTCTGTGAATGTATTTATTTTAAGGATTTAACAATTAGATTTCCTTGTAATATATTAAAGGATCACGTGCTATTCATGGAGACTTCAACAGAGCAAATATTTAGGTGATTTCAGTATTAAAAAGTAGTATTTTCTGCAATAAACTCCAATACTAAAATGAGCATTTTGCCTTAAATGAAAATAAGTACTAAATTTAGATAGTGCTCTAAGACGAAGAAAGAATTTTGTCTAAGGAATATAAAAGAGTAAGAATATGTTATGGTAGTACAAGTTCATAATAGTCTCATTAAGATATGTGCAACACATCTCATTTGATATGCACAGCAGTGCTGTTAAGAAATTCATAATTAATATGAACTCTGTTTTACACTTGAGAAAACTGAAGAACAAGCTAAGTGCCACTGACATAAATCCAGGTCTTTTGATTCTTAAGTCCAGTACTTTAAGCATTATTTCTCATCTCATAATAAATATTCACCCCAGTAATGCACTACTGTGAGTCCCTGGTGCTAAAAAACTATCTGAAATAGTAGTGAATCTAGCCTATAACAGGAGTCATAATTTCAGTTACTCACTCTTGTTAAGAAGTATCAAAAGCAATAGGATGTTGAGAAGACTCTGATTTACTCCCCTTGTGGGCTTCTCTTTCCACATGTGATAGATATTGTTCACCTTCTAGATCAGAGTTGAGGACAGAAACCAAGATGGACACAAATCCCAACCCTATTTGGGTTTCCATGTCTGGAATCCATATAAGGCTGAAACTGGATGACATGACACTTGTGCTGGAGGCATCAAGGAAGGCCAATGAAATGGAAGAAAACTGCAAGGGGAAACCAGGGAATCCTTCAGAGATCCTCATCTGCCAGGTGGCAGGTAGGAGGACCAGTCTATGGCTTTCAAAGGAGATGCACAGAATGGAAATTGTTCCCAAACAAAGGAGAAACTGTCTCTACCATGTCCCTGCCTATATCTCCATCTTAACTATGCACAATGCAGTACTGCCTTCTCAACCACTCAAGAAAATTTAATAAACCTAGATTTTTTCTTTCTTCTTCTACCTAGGACTGGGTAAAAAATTCTATGATGACTTACAGAATCTCTAATGGAGCCTATCTGATCTACCAATACCAAAGAGACCTTCAAACTTAAAGAGAAAAATCAACAAACATATGAAGAGATTCATGTATTCAAAATGAGAACATGAAATATAAACAGGAAATGTACCTTAGTAAAAGTGTTACTGTGGGAAAGAGGAGAAAACTTAAAAATCTCAAGTTGTAGAGGAAAATGTATGCATACTCATAAAACAGGAATAGATTATCAAGAAAAAGAAATTCAGAACAAGAGAGAATTCGTGGAGATGTCTGTGGATGAAGATGAATCAGTCTGTTGCTAATCCAAAAACTCTCTCTACTCCAGGCATATTGACAAAATATAAAAAGAGAAAACAAACAAACAAAAATATATATACGTCAAAACTTACCCAATGGTATACTTGAAATATGTACAGCTTACTGCATGTCAAATATACTTTACTAAAGCTATTCAGAATATCCATTAATACAATTCTTATATCAACAGATTAAAAAACATATGATATTTCAACAGATGCAGAAAAAGCATTTAATAAAATGCAATACCCATTCTTTTTTCTTAAAAAAAAACAACTAACATTTATTATCTCATGGTTTCTCTGGGCCAGGAATCAATGTGTCCCAATGGTAATAAATAATGTTCATTTAAATAACAAATATTTGTTGGGCGCCTGGGTGGCTCAGTCGGTTAAGCGTCTGCTTTCAGCTCAGGTCATGATCCCGGAGTTCTGGGATCCAGCCCTGAGGCGGGCTCCTTGCTCAGTGGGGAGTCTGCTTCTCCCTCTGCACCTCACCTCACTCGTGCTCTCTCTCTCTCAAATAAATACAAATCTTAAAAAAATAAAATAACAAATATGTTGTTTTTTAAGAAAAAAATGAGTACTGGAGTTTACTGAATGTTTCTATTCTTGATGAAAACTCGCAGAAAAAACTAGGAATGGGAATTTCCTCAACATGATAAAAGGCATCTATGAAAAACCTACAGCTGTTATCATACTTATGTGTGAAAGACTGAATGTTCTGCCCCTAATATCAGAAACAAAGCAAAGATGCCTACTTTTTACCACTCCAACATTGTGCTGGAGGTCCTTGCCAGTTATATAAGATAAGAAAAAAGTATAAAAGGATACAGATTGAAAAGGAAGAAATAAAATGGTCTTTATTTACCAATGGCATTATTGTCTACATAGGAAATCCTGAAGAATCTACATAAAACTACCATAACCCTTGAGCAAGGGAACAAGAAATAAGATCAATATACAAAAATCAAGTATATTTCCTTATATTTGGAATGTACAAATGGATATTGAATTTTTTCTAAAGTACCAATTTACAATAAATAGTGTTTAAAAATATGAAATTCTTAAGGTAAATCTAACAAGATAGTGCAGCATTTGTAAGCTGAAAACCACAAAAAATTGATGGGAACAATCAAATACCTAAATAACTGAGAAGATATTTCATAATCATACATTGGAAGACTCAACATTGTTAAGATGTCCTCTCCAAACTGATCTCCAAATGCAATCCCAATTAACAAACTGATTCTAAAATTCACATAAAAAAGCAAAGGACCTGGAGTAGCTAAAAAAAAAAAAAAAAAAGTCTGAGCACTCACACTATCCAATTCTAAGACTTACTATGAAGGTACAGTAATGAGACAGTGCAGAACTGGGGTAAGGGTAGACATACAGATCAATGGAACAGAACAGAGTCCAAAAATAGACTCAACATATATGGCTTAAATCTTCACCAGATTTTTTAAAAATTACTTTTCTTAAAGAAATCTCTTTTTAAAGTAAACATAATAAAGCAAATGCAATTTTTAAATGTTTTCAAATAATGTTTGATCCAGTAAGTCTATTTATTCTACAGATGTACTTTCACAAGTGCGATACACACACACACATTAAATCAAATAAGTCATACCCACATGTACTAATATGGAAAAATGTAAAAAACATATTAAGCAAAACAAGCAAGTAGCAAACAATTTTATATATGTCTGTGCCTGCATAATCACTTTTGAAAAAAATATGGTACAAATAGTATTTTGAACTTTTATCCATGAGCACCTATTATTTTAACAATTTTAAAAATTGTATAAATCTTCAATAAAACCAGGAGCACCTGGGTGGCTCAGTTGGTTAAGCGTCTGCCTTAGCCTCAGGTCATGATCCCAGAATCCTGGGATCAAGCCCCACATCAGGCTCCCTGCTCTGCGGGGAGCCTGCTTCTCCCTCTCCTCCCCTTTCATGCACTCTCTCTCTCTCTTTTAAAAGATTTTAAAATCTTTTAAAAAAACTTTATAAAACCAAAAAAAAAAAAAGAAAGAAAGAGGATACAAAACAATTATTTTTGGCAGAGCCAAAAACAATTCGAAAGCACATAGAATCCTAAAAACTTTTCAACTCCGTGAGGCACCAATGTCACAAAAATCTGAGGATTTTTTTGTTCTTCGGGCTTTGAAAAAAAAACAGCATTTGTCAACCAAATGAAACATAATAAACCCTCTTTATTTTGTACTACATTCAAAATACCATGGCACATTTTGCTAAGTGAAATAAGCCAGTCACAGAAAAACAAATAGCATGATTCCACTTATATAAGGAATCTAAAATAGGCAAATTCATTGAATCAGAGAGAGTGCAACGGTGTCTACCAAGGGCTGGAGTGAAGGAGAAATGAACATACAGGCATAATCAATGGGCATAAAGTTTCATTCAAGCAAGATGGACAAGCTGCAGAGATCTGCTATTCAGCATTGCACCTTAATCAACAATAATCTAATGCACACTTAAAAATTTTTAAGAAGGCAGAACTCATGGTAAGTGTCCTTTCCACAATTAAAATTTTTAAAAAATTAACATTGGTATAGTTCTAGAAGATAAAATATAATACCATGGCACAAATAACTAGCTTAAATTAAAATGAAATTTTAAAGCCTGGAGATATACAAAAATGCAAGTTCCCATTTAAAGAATTTTGTTTCTATATATTTTAGTAATTGTGGACTGGGACTAGCTCATGAGCTCCATGACAGGGTCTATTTTTAATATATTATACATTGTGTACCCTTAGATTCTAGCAAGTACCTGACACAAATAAGCTCTCAGTTTTTTAGATGAAAGAATTAAAGTTAAGTCAGGTCCTTTATGGTATGTATGTATTTCTGGGCACACAAGGATTTTGTTTTTGAACATACAGTACTATCTTGAGAAATTCACTTAAATTCTATTTGCCTCGAAGCTCATCTTTAAAACTAAGGAAGGCACCTGGCTGGCTCAGTTGGTAGAGCATGCAACTCTTGATCTTGGGGTCATGAGTTTGAGCCCCACATTGGGAGTAGAGTATACTTAAAAAAATAATAAAAGTAAAAATAAGAAAACTAGATTTAGATGACCTATTAATAGCACCTTTTAATTCTATAATGTTCTTACCTTTGTTATTACATCATGGGCTTCTGAATCAGGACAGACCTCTATTTGAATCCTGGCTTTGTCACTATAAAACTAGGTAAGCTACTCAACTTCTGTGAGTCTCAGTTTCCTTATTTATAAAATGGGGATAAACAAGCACTTCTTCAGAGTACTATGAGATATAATTTACATAAAGCACAGAGTTGCAACTAAATAAGTATTAGTTCTTTCTCTTGAGAGTCTAGACAATAATAGCGATGTTACAGTAAGAGTGAAACTACTCATATTAAATGATACATTAGAATTTTATAACTCAATTATTTATATCAAGAATTTAGATGCACCCACTTCTGACAAAGCTGATTAAAAAGAACTTTAGGAGAAAGTGGTCCTTTTTCAGTCTCCTTCATGCTGTGAAGAAACACCAACAAGGCTGAGGTCAATGTTCCAGGGCTTGAAAGTTCCACTATTAATGGGTCCTTGAAAAACATGATCAACTCTATGTCAGAAATATGCAATTTTGAAACTAAATATTATTAAAAATCTAAGTTATACTTTGCTTAAATGATAACTAAATTGCCTTAAGTGTATTAAGAAACTTTATTCCTGCATATATAAGATGAATATTAAAAAATGGAAAATGGAATTAAATGCCTTACCTTGAAAAACACAGGTATTCTCCTAACATTTGCCCCTTACTTAGTAAAACTATTAGCTTAAGAGTAAAATCACCAACCTCTAGTTGCTTATAACTGTCCCTTAATGTGCTCTCCTAGGGGCACCTGGCTGGCTGAGTCAGTCCAGCATGCAATTCCATCTCGGGATTGTGAGTTTGAGCCCCACGTTAGGTGTAGAGATTACTTAAAAAAATAAAGTCTTAAAAAATGTGCTCTCCTAAAAGCAGAATTACTTATCTACTTGATATGTATACATCTTAATATATGATCACAAATCACATTTGTTAGCAAAACTCCACACCCTTCTTTTCCCCAAATATTTTACTAATAAAATAAGGAATGGGAAATTATGTCATAAAATTGATACACCATTCTCCTTCTTTACAAGGGAGAGACATAAAGCTTGACAACAGCAGCTAAAATTGTGTGAAGGAGAAACCCACTTTATTCTAGAATTTCTCCCCCACCAAGTTTTGTTTTCTAAAATGTTATCTTCGGGGCGCCTGGGTGGCTCAGTTGGTTAAACGACTGCCTTCGGCTCAGGTCACGATCCTGGAGTCCCAGGATCGAGCCCCACATCGGGCTCCCTGCTCGGCAGGGAGTCTGCTTCTCCCTCTGCCCCCCCCCCACATGTTCTCTCTCTCATTCTCTCTCTCTCTCTCAAATAAATAAATAAAATCTTTAAAAAAAATAAAATAAAATAAAATGTTATCTTCACCAGTAACCCTCTCTCCTTATAAATAATGATTAAAAAGCAGATCCCAAATATAATCTTAGGACGTTACAGAATGTTATTTTCTAAGACAACTATCAAATATGGTTGTCTCATTCACGTATTTATGAAACACATGTTATATATATATTTCATACCAACTATCCTTAAAAATCTACCATCTGACTAAAACCACAGAAAGGACAGGCTATAATTTTGCATAGCTTCTGAATATCAAAACTGCTCTCTGCCATGTTGAAGACATGAACAGACATTTCTCCAAAGAAGACATATAGATGGCCAACAGACACATGAAAAGATGCTCAACATCACTCATCATCAGGGAAATGCAAATCAAAACTACAATGAGGTATCACTTCATGTATCAGAATAGCTAAAATAAAAAACATAAGAAACAACAAGTGTTGGTGAGGATGTGGAATAAAAGGAACCCTCACGCACTGTTAGTGGAAATGCAAACTGGTGCAGCCACTGTGGAAGACAGTTTGGAGGTTCCTCAAAAAATTAAAAACAGAACTATAATATGATCCAGTAATCACTCTGCTGGGTATTTACTTAAAGAATACAAAAACACTAATTCAAAGGGATACATGCACCCCTATGTTTATTGCAGCATTATTTACAATAGCCAAATTAGAGAAGCAGCCCAAGTATCCATCAGTTGATGAATGGATAAAGAAGATGTGGTATACATATAAAATGGAATATTATTCGGCCATAAAAAAGAATGAAATCTTACCATTTGAAACAACGTGGATGGACCTTGTAGGCATTATGCCAAGTGAAATAAGTCAGACAAAGACAAATACCATATGATTTCACACGTGGAATTTAAAACAAAACAAAACAAAAAACCCAAAAACCAGCTCACAGACATAGAGAACAGGGGGTGAGGGGATGGGTAAATTGGTGAATGAGGTCAAAACAAACTTCCAGACATGAAAAGAAAAAAAAAAAAAAAAACACCTATGAAAAACCTATAGTTAACTTCATTCTTGATGTTAATGAAAGACTGAATATTTTTCTCCTACTCTGGGGATTTTAGGCAAGGATGTCTGCTCTCTCATCATTTCTATTCAGTATGTTACTAGAGGTTCAAGCCAATACAATAAGGTAAGGAAAAGAAACAAAAGGCATATAGATTGCAAAGGACAAAGTAAAACTGGTGATTCAAAGAGTAGTGATCTACACTGGTAGTCCTCCAGCTCAGGTCAAATCTATGTCCCAAAGACCAAAGATCTAAGATTGAAACTCTCCTCTTAGAAGAACACAAATCTAAAGTGATCAGCTATAATATCTAATCGCCATATAGTCCTCTCAAGATACAGTTCCACATAAAGCACCTAACATTCAATCACATTTAATAGGAAATCTTTTCAAATGACTAAGCATTAACTCCAATTTAGTAATTTTCACTACCTCACTACATTTTAGAAGAGGGCACTGGGCTCTGCTATAAAAATTTTAAAGGGCTGAACAGGCAATAAGTTTACAGGTTGCCTTTTCAACAAAGACATACAACAATACTGTCTTTCAAAACTGCCTCCGTGGAAGAAAAATCTAATATTACTACATTGGGCTAAGAATTTTTAGAACTCCCCTTTCTTGTTTTCAAAAGCCATGAGCTATTACATACATCTCTTCCTCCAAAACACACACACACACAAATGAGTTTCTAACTAAAAACCTAATTACTACTGTCAGGGCCCTCCAGCCAAAGACTACCAGGAACACACTGGTAGTTGAACAAGAGGGGTTTATTACTTGTTGCATTTAGGAAGAACACACACCATAGGAAACCACAGGGTGTCTCAATAAGGGGGTACTGGAAAGAACTGATACAGGATTTGGGCTTTGGCTGAGTAATCTGGGGGAGAGTCTAAGGAAGCAAAGGTTTGCTCTCAATTGAATGCTGTCAGAAAGTGGAGGCAATTCTTAGCCTTAGATAAATCTTATCTTTGAGTTAGGGTAACCCAAATTCTAGTCTCTTTGGGAGGTAAGAATGAGGCTAAAGCTCATTTACTACTATTTGAGGGTAGCAGTCTCTCACTTCGGTCAAAATAGGGTGCTTGAGATTTTTCTAAGTGGTAGACTAACCTTGTTTTTGTCTGAGTTCAGATAAAATTATGAAGTGGCCTTGCTTTGTCTTATTTTTATCAGTCTCAGAGCAACCTGGCCTGAGGTTGGCATTCTGTGAGATTGTTTGAACAATATGGCCTAACTGTGGGTGCCAAGCCAGCTTCTGAATGTTAAGGGCTGCTCTTTTTCTTTATTTCTTTTCTCACTAGCTTAATAGTCTATTTTTAGACTAGGCCCCAAAAAATCTTTAGATGCTCACTATTAAAATTAAATCTACTTTTAAAGAACTAAAATGCTATATTTAAGCAAATGTTACCAGTAACTACGAAACAGGAGTCCTAGACATTTTGCTCAACTAAATCCAAACCCCTTTTGTTTAAAAGTTGCCTTGATATCTTTGTATTGTTTGACCCATGATACGTTTGAACCATAACAGATCTTGAAGGTATAACGTTAGAATTTTAAAATCGGATTATTTTCACAAAATGCTTTTGAATTATTTTTTCAAAATATTTTTTCAAAACACCATCTCAGTTAACAGTGCTGAGAAATACAAAAGATCAATTTTGGCACCATCAGTGGCTCATCTAAAAAGAGCTATTATCCCAGTAGTCATTCTTCTTACCAGCTGAGAGTCTGGGGAAGGAAAAATCTTGAGTTTTGTCCCATTTTCTTTGTTCTCATTCATCAGTTCCATAAGAATGTAAGATTGTGCCAAGTTCTAAAAGAAAGCAAATGTAAAGTCTTCTGATTCGGTTGTAATATCCTCTGATTCTATGGAAAAAATGGCTCTTCAACTCTCAAATGTCATCTAGCAGAGCAAAAAAATTTTTGAGTTTTAAAAAACTTGACTGAGCACATTTCACATTTAATAAATGTCAGTATTATGGACAGAACCATGGTAAAACACAGAGAAGGCCTTTTGGAAGCACTGTGCGAAAAGGTGGTGTGTATATGTATGTATGTACATAGCAACGGCTACAGATAGCCTAAAACAAAAAGAAAACAGGCCTTTCTAGGCGAACGTTTAGCAGTCAATTGCTAGTTTACAGGTGTGTCAATAAATACAAAGTTATCTTTTACATTTTACAAAGATTCCTGATGGCTCTTACCTGCATGACTGCATTAAAAAAGCAAGTATTTCCTAAATTTGAAATTCCTTTCACAGACGGTACACTGCTGCCTTTTCTTCCCTTCTTTTTTTCACCTGTTTCACATTTTTCCTCACAAAGTTTTAGGATTCTAGAAAATGCACCTAAGTTAGAGAAAACATAACTGACATAAGATGTAAAATCAAATATGTGTATATATATATATAATTTGAAATAATTTAAATACATTAATTAAAATTAAGTAAGATTTTCCCCTGAATTGGTATCCCTGAAGGGCAAGAATACAAACACAAATAAATGTCTCCAGTTTGTATCTTACTGCTACGTATTAATACCACGTACGACACTGAGGGATAAATTCCAGATGAATTACATAGTTAAGTATAAAAGAATAAAGTAAAAAAACAAGAAGAAAACATCCAGATCCCAGTTCCTAAATACTATTCCCCACTAAAAGAAATGAAAACTTCTTGAAGAAAAGGCTGATTCTAAACCTAGGACAGCAAAGAAACAAAGTAAGCCTATAACATTTTTATTGTGCCAGAAAATAAGGAAGTGCTCAAAAAAAGTGATGAGTAGGTCAAAATACACATGCACCATCCTGAATAGGTTCCCACTGGTCCACTCTGGGACAATCTGAGTATCAAAATAAAGAAGGGTCATTAATAGTTTACAATTCACTGAACAAAATGAGAATGGGTCAGAATCAGTAATAGGTTTTTTAAATTGGAGGAAAAGGGAAAAACTCTTCCTTACAAGAAAATGCCAACTAATACACAGAAGAAATAATGGAATTGTAAAATCACCATATAATGGCAATTTTTTTTGTATTGTTCTTGCAACTTTTCTCTAAGTTTGAAACTTCAAAATAAAAAGCTTAAAAAATTAGAACTATATTATAATATAAAAAGGAAAATGCCTATATATATGGTACATAAGTACATGTTTTGGGCTCACTGGTTTATATAATTAATGAAGATTTAAAAATTATATCAATTTATCATGTTTCAAAACAACCTGAAAATGAACAATTTCTAACATTTACAAACTGACATCATATCTATTCAACAGCACATTACTTTCTGAATCAAAATATAATTTGAGGGGCGTCTGGGTGGCTCAGTCCATTAAGCAGCCAACTCCTGATTTCAGCTTAGGTCATGATCTCAGGATCATGAGATCAAGCCCCACGATGGGCTCTGTACTCAGTGTGAGTATGCTTGAGATTCTCTGCCTCTCCCTCTGCCCGTCCCCCCACTCATGTTTTCTCACTCTCTCAAATAAATAAAATCTATTAAAAATATATATATAATTTGAAGTTTGACAGGAAATTCCCAAGTTCTCAAATCTTTTATTTTAACCAAAATACTCTTTTAGGGGCACCTGGGTGGCTCAGTCGTTAAGCGTCTGCCTTTGGCTCAGGTCATGATCCCAGGGTCCTGGGATCGAGCCCCGCATCAGGCTCCTTCCTCCGCAGGGAGCCTACTTCTCCATCTCCCAACCCCCCTGCTTGTGTTCCCTCTCTCACTGTGTCTCTCTCTGTCAAATAAATAAATAAATAAAATCTTAAAAAAAAAAATTCTTTTAAATTTCTTTCAACCCTCAGATTTTGTAGTTCTTTGCAATTATATGTTTTATTCATCTAATACTGACATACTGCCTTGCATTGCTAATTAATTTTTAAATATTTGGCTGTCTCCCCAATCAGACTGATGGAGATCAGAAAATGTCTTAGTACTGCTCTTTCTTCCACAGGGGTGTAATGTTGGGGAGAACATACATAATAAAAATTCAATATAAATGAAAACACACCGGATTAAACAGCAGATTCAGTAGCATCTTAGCCCTCCATGCTTTGATGTGTTTTTAAGAGTAAGTAAGACATCCCCTCCAGGGGCGCCTGGGTGGCTCAGTTGGTTAAGCGACTGCCTTTGGCTCAGGTCATGATCCCAGGGTCCTGGGATCGAGCCCCGCATCGGGCTCCCTGCTCGGCGGGAAGCCTGCTTCTCCCTCTCCCACTCCCCCTGCTTGTGCTCCCTCTCTCGCTGTGTCCCTGTTAAATAAAAAAAAAAAAAAAAGACATCCCCTCCCATCCTGCCCTTCTATGCAACAACATTAAGGGAGATGAACAGGGCTGGAGGTAGCCCTGTTTTCAGGGACAGAAGCAGAGAGAAAAGACCATAAAGAGAAACTGTAATCTCAAGTATGGGCAGACTGATGTCATACGCATCCTGTTGGTTCAAATAAGGGGTGACTTGGCAACTGTGACTTTTGCCAAAGAAAAGCATCAATCAAGGGGGGTTAACACATTTCCTTATAAGATTTTCATAAGGATTAAATGCAAAGCAACTATTTGCAAAGCACCTGGCAAGGTAAGCACCATGTAAGTGGGTGAAAACAGCCCGAGAGCCTCCCCAAAATTGTTATTTGTGCCAAAATCCATACCTTCATAAGTGATCCTTCATGGCCATTGTTTATCTGCCCTCACTTTTTTCTTCTCTTTAATCATTTCCTATAACATCCTGGGTTTTTGCCCTCAAGCTTAGCTCTTATTTCTAATTGATTTTCGGAATTGCTAATATGAGTTTTGCCTTTTTATTGACTTTGTGGTTTTCATATCTTCTTGGCTTTTCTTTCTAACATGTGGAAACATCTTACCTCATTGAGAAAAATGAACTGGTGGTTTCTAAGGTTTTTTTTCATTAAGTAAATCTACCGCATGGAAAATATTTTTCTTTCAACTCTTAGCAACTTTTATCCATGATGTAATATTTTCCCATAAACCCTATTGCCTGTTTTTTTATCCCCCCTTGATTCCTGTTGGCTTATTCTTTTCTCTTTTTTTAAGATTTATTTGAGAGAGAGAGACAGAGAGAGAAAATGCACACGCAAGCAGGCGCAGGGGCAGACAAAGAGAGAATCCTCAAGCAGACTCCCTGCTGAGCATGGAGCCCAACATGGGGCTTGATTGCAGGACCTGAGATCATGACCTAAGATGAAATCCAGAGTAAGCGGCGCCTGGGTGGCTCAGTCGTTAAGTGTCTGCCTTCAGCTCAGGTCATGATCCCAGGCTCCTGGGATCGAGCCCTGCATCAGGCTCCCTGCTCCGCGGGAAGCCTGCTTCTCCCTCTCCCACTCCACCTGCTTGTGTTCCCTCTCTCACTGTCTCTCTCTCTGTCAAATAAATAAAAAAATCTTTAAAAAAAAAAAAAAAGATGAAATCCAGAGTCAGATTGCTTAACTGACTGAGCCACCCAAGTGCCCCTGCTGGCTTATTCTTTAAACATTATTGGTTGTTACTGGATGTGTGTTGTCCAGATACTGAGGAGTTGTTTTTTACTCCCAACCCTAGAGTTCTGAGTTAACACAGAAAAGAAGGAGCAAGATAGATCGCTTCTCCTGTCTTCCATATATTAAAACAAGTAATAAGAATTAAACCCCATACTAGAGCTTGGGGGCAAAGGCTGGTACAATCAATGGAAAGGTCACTCAAGGGCAGAGAACAGGCATGGAGAAAAGGAAAAGCAGGAAAAAGCAAGACAGTATTCAAACCTGCAAGTGGATGTAAAAGCAAATGAAATAAGCCAGTCAGTGGTCAAGAAGCATTTCACAAACAAGAGGAGGCCCCATATGGATCCTGGCTGGGTTTGCAGATGAGAGCAGTCCACCTCTTAATTATATCTGAGATTCCAACTAGAGCCTAGAATAGGCAGGTTTCAGCTCTCATTATTGATGTTGCCACTAGATGGCTTCATAGCGACTTTTAAGAGATTTCAGACGCTAGAGTAATTAAATCCAAGCATTAGTCCATCTTTTTGGGTAAAGTTGTTACTCTGATTTTATATTTACAAAACTCAATCTCCAACAGGTTAAGTGATTTGCCCAAAGTCATAATGACAATCTTTTGATTATAAATCTATTGCCATTTTACCACCTAATTTCTCTTCAGTGATTTAAGTACAATAAGAAGAATTATAAAAGATAGGAAGGCAAGAGTCTTACATATCTAGGTATATGCAACCCTGATCAAATGACTCCTCAAAAGTATTTCCTTCAGTTAACATTGCCAGAATATTTTTTTGCTTATTAACATGAAAAAATGTTGGGGAAAATAAACTATGCAGATTATACTAACCATACACACACACACATATCTATAAAACATATTTTATATTATATATATAAATATATATTATATTATATATAAATATACATATTATATATATAAAACATGTTTTTCATATTTTTGTATTTTAATACATTTAGCATTCACTTACAAAATATTTCCAGAAATAAATTACATTTTATTCTTACAAGAATAACATTTTTTAAAACTGTAACATGCAAATTATTATGTATCTGTGTACCACATTTACCCATCAGTTTTTCAAGACATCTGGGATAACATCCTAAAGTAAACAATGTTCATAAGACCATCTGGACAAAACTGCGGGCAAAAAAAAAAAGCATAAACATATGGAAAAACAGATTTTACCCTTCCCTTAAGCAGTAAGGGATGACAAATGTTGAACCTAGATATATCCACGCTTCACTGTGCGATGCTTTTCAGCACCACCTGGCTCTCCATGCAGAGCCACCAAATATGGACAGCACTGCCAGAAAGAACATAACCACAGGGCAATGGCAATAAAAATAGTTTATTTCATGGTTAAATAGCCACTTCACACAAGTGGCAAGGGTCTGTTTATTGCCTTTTACATGTAAGTCTGAGAACATATTCACAATTATGCTATTAGACTTAAATATTAAATAGATCAGATAATTTAACTAGAAAATAAAATGACATTTTCTAAGAACTATTTAAATGTGTTTAATTTTTTTTAAAGATTTATTTATTTGAGAGAAAGAGAGAGCGTGTGAGTACTGAGCAGGGGGGTGGGCAGAGGGAGAGGGAGAATCTTAATCAGACTCCCAGATGAACACAGAGCAGGACACAGGGCTCGATCCCACAACCTTGAGGTCATGACCTGAGCGGAAATCAAGAGTTGGACACTTAAATGACTGAGCCACCCAAGCACCCCTAAGTGTGTTTTTAAGTGCAAGTTTTTGGTTTTACTAAGTAGAATATTTATAAAATGTAACAATTCAAATTCAATTGATTTATTAAATTTCCATTTTATCA